CCCGCTGGCTCTGCTCCTTGGGCTCGGCCCTGGGGGGCACAGCGGGGTGAGGACACCCCAGTGACACCCCCAGCCCGGGTGAGCCGGCACCGTGGCAGGGACGGGGACACTCACTGCGTGTCCAGCACGGGCAGGTCCTCCTCGGCCAGCTGGTCGTCCTCCAGCTCGCTCACCTTGGCCTCCTTGGCCATGGCGAGCGGGAGGGGCTCGGCGGGGGTTTGGAGGTGCTCGGCTCCTGAAATGAGAAGGGGGATCAGCAGGTGCTCCCAGAGCTGGGGGACAAGTCCTGAGAAGGGCCCCCAAATTTCAGGCTGTCCATGACAGCTCCCAGCCCATCTCTATGCCCCTGGGTCCCCCGGGTGCCCCGGTGCCACCAGCCTCACCCAGGTTGTCCCGCAGGGCGCTGGCCTCCAAGTGCTGGTCGAAATTGAGGTTGGGCACCAGCTTCAGCCTCATCCTCGAGTAGGTCTCGGCGCTCGACAGCTTCCAGCGAACCTCCGGCGGGTTCCTGGGGGGCACGGGGGGGGCTCAGGCACCCTGGGGACCCCCGGCTGTGCCCCCCCTGCCCAGGGACGGGGCGGGCGCTCACCGGTCGGCCCAGGCGGAGCGGGGCGAGGTGAGCAGGCGGCACAGGGACCTCCACTGCTTCAGCACCGTGCTCTGGTGGTTGTTGGCCTGCTTGAGGACGTTGCTGTGCCGGGCGTTCTCTGCCTTGGAGCGCTTGGCCACCGGCTCCAGCACCAGCTCCTGCCAAGGCAGCACCAGAGTGAAGGGACAGCAGGGCTGGGGCTTGGGGACAACCCTGAAGTGAGGAGTGTGTTCATGGGGGACACCCCCAGGGTGGGGAGAATGACCCCGGGATGATGTGCTCGGGGATAGAAGCCCATCACTGGGATGATGTCCCTGGAATAAAGTTCCTGGGATGATGAGCACGTCCCCAGGACAAGGAGCACACCCCCAGGGTGACATCCCAGGGGTGAGGAGCATGTCCCCAGGGTGACATCCCAGGGGTGAGGAGCACATCCCCAGGGTGACATCCCAGGGGTGAGGAGCATGTCCCCAGGATGAGGAACATGTCCTCAGGGCGAGGACCACATTCCCTGGATGATATCCTTGGGGTGAGGAGCACATCCCCAAAATGAGGAGCACACTCGCAGGGTGACATCCCAGGGATGAGGAGCACACCCCCAGGTGACATCCCAGGGGTGAGGAGCACACCCCCAGGTGACATCCCAGGGGGGAGGAGCACACCCCCAGGTGACATCCCAGGGGTGAGGAGCAGGCAGGACCTGGAACATCTTGCGGCTGGCCGCCTTCTCCTGCTCCCGCCGCTGGGCGCTGCTCATCATGGCATCGTAACAGGCGTTCCAGAAGTTGGACATGTGGTCGTGGCTCCTGGCAAAGGTGTCCATCTCAAACTGGGCCATGGTGGGCTGCACCTGGGGAAACCAGGAGGAGGGAAGAGGTGTTTCCAAGGGCTTCACACCCACCACCCATCACCCGGGTGTTCCCCCAGCGATGACACCCACGTGCTTCTCGATGAAGCCCCTCCACTCCGGGGTGGTGCAGAAGAGCTGGAAGTCCTCGTAGAAGGTGGGGCTGCCGTTGGTGGGGGGCAGGGAGGGCAGGAAGAGCTGCAGCTGCAGGGTCTCGTAGCACTGGTCCATGAGCGTGCGGATGATGGGCACCAGCCAGGAGAACGTCTCCGACTTGGCCTCCAGCGAGCGCCGCAGGGGGGTCTCCAGCTTCCCCAGGAGGTAACAGGCCTCGTCCTTCCTGGGAGCTGAGGACGTCTGCAGGAGGCTGTGCAGCTTCACGTAGGCCAGGGAGTGCAGCTGGGGGGACATGGACATGGGGTGGGGCCACTCCAAGGGCTGGGATCCCACTGGGAGGGACGTGGGATGTCATATGGGGCCACCCCAAGGGCTGGGATCCCACTGGGAGGGACGTGGGATGTCATATGGGGTCACTCCAAGGGCTGGGATCCCACTGAGGGGGACATGGGATATCATATGGGGCCACTCCAAGGGCTGGGATCCCACTGGGAGGGACGTGGGATATCATATGGGGCCACTCCAGGGGCTGGGATCCCACTGGGAGGGATGTGGAATGTCATATGGGGCCACTCCAAGGGCTGGGATCCCACTGGGAGGAACATGGGATATCATATGGGGCCACTCCAAGGGCTGGGATCCCACTGGGAGGAACATGGGATATCATATGGGGCCACTCCAAGGGCTGGGATCCCACCACAAGACCAGTTGGAGGGACAGGTGACATTGGATGGGGCCACCCTCAGGGCTGGAATCCCACCATGAGCCCAGCTGGGAGGACATGGGATAGGGCCACCTCGAGGGTTGGGATTCCACCAGGACATCAGATGGGGCCACCCCAAGGGCTGGGATCCCACTGAGGGGGACATGGGATATCATATGGGGGCCATTCCAAGGGCTGAGATCCCACTGGGAGGGACATGGGATATCATATGGGGCCATTCTAAGGGCTGGGATCCCACTGAGGGGGACATGGGATATCATATGGGGGTCATTCCAAGGGCTGGGATCCCACTGAGGGGGATGTGGGATATCATATGGGGGTCATTCCAAGGGCTGAGATCCCACTGAGGGGGACATGGGATATCATATGGGGCCATTCCAAGGGCTGGGCTCCCACTGGGGGGAATTGGATTATTTCATATGGGGCACCTCCAAGGGAGGATCCCAATGGGAGGGACATTGGATATTAATATGTGGGGCCATTCCAAGGGGCGGATCCCCACTGAGTGTGACATTGGCATATCATATGGGGCCACTCCAAGGGCTGGGATCCCACTGGGAGGGACGTGGGATATCATATGGGGCCACTCCAAGGGCTGGGATCCCACTGAGGGGGACATGGGATATCATATGGGGCCACTCCAAGGGCTGGGATCCCACCACAACCCAGCTGGAGGCACATGGGACATGGGGATGGGGCCATTCCAAGGGCTGGGATCCCACCACGAGCCCAGCTGGGGGCACAGGGGACACGGGGACGGGGCCACCCCGACGGTTGGGATGGCAGCAGCCCCAGGGGAGGGAGGGGTGACCCACCTGGGGGTCCTGCAGCAGGATGTAGCCCACGAGGACTCGCAGCCCCGCCTGGGCCATCTCCCTGAGGTCGGAGGTGCCATTGGCCAGGTGGTACCACACGCCCAGCTTGTCCAGCAGGCTGTTCACCCCCTCGTAGATCTGGGGACACGGCGAGACCCCGCCTGGGCACGGATCCCACCCCTCTCCAGCCCCCAGGGCTGATCCCAGCACCCAGCACCCCTCGGCTTTGGGTTTGGGTTGGGGGTAGCATTTAGGATTAGGGTTTGGAGTAGGGTAGAACCCAACTCATAATGGTTGTTCCAAACTAGTCTGGGTTCGGGCATCAGGCTCAGGGAATGGGTTTATAGTAAGGGTGAAGGGTTAGGGGTAAGGATTAGGACTGGGATTTGGTCTGGGGTATAGGACTGGGTTTAGGGGTGAGGTTTAGGGTGGGGATGAAGGTTTAAGGATTAGGATTTAGGAGGTATGGTTACGTGACAGGTTGTGAGTTAAGGCTGGGCCTAAGGTTTGTAGTAAGGGGGTAGGGTTAGGGTTAAGATCAGGATTAAGGGTTGGGCTTTGTGACAAAAATGCAGAGTTAAGGTTTAGGATGAGGATTGAGACTAGGGCTGAGGTATAGGACTGGGGTTAGGGTTGAGCTTTATGACAAGGAGGGTTAAGTTTTAAGAGCAGTATTTAGGATGTCTTAGGTTTTTAGTATGGGTGTAGGGTTAGGGTTAAAATTAGGATTAAGGGTTGGGGATTGTGACAAGGATGTAGGGTTAAGGTTTAGGATCTACTGTTGATTCATAGTTTAGGATTAATGCTGAGGTTATTTCCTAAGGTTAGGATTAGGCTTTGAATTACACTGTAGGAATAAGGCTGAGGTTATTTCCTAAAGTTAGGGTTGGGGTTTGATTTACAATTTAGGATTAAGACCGAGGCTATTTTCTAGGGTTAGGGTTAGAGTTAGGGTTTGATTTACAATTTAGGATTAAGGCTGAGGCTATTTTCTAGGGTTAGGGTTAGAGTTAGGGTTTGATTTAAATTTAGGATTAAGGCTGAGGTTATTTCTAAGGTTAGGATTAGGTTTTGACTTACAGTTTCTGATTAAGGCCGAGGTTATTTCCTAAGGTTAGATAACGCTGCAGATAAGGCTGTGTTTAGACTCAGGTCTATCATCAGGGATCAGGGGTTAGGTTAGGATTAAGGCCAAGGTTATTTCCTAAGGTTAGGTTAGGATTAAGGCCAAGGTTATTTCCTAAGGTTAGGTCAGGGTTAAGGCCCAGGTTATATCCTAAGGTTAAGTTCAAGCGCTGCAGGTAGGGCAGGTTTAGGCTCAGGTCTAACACCAGGGATCAGGCATTAGCAGTAGGGCCCAGAGCCCAGGTCTGGGATCAGGAATGCCCGCTCATTCCCACCCACCTTCTCGCTCCACAGGGCCTGGTTGTTGTGCCCCTCGGAGAAGAGGAAGTCCTGGAGCAGCCGGAGCAGCTTGAGGGCGTTGTGGGTGAGGCCGGGCAGGGCCCCCGGCCCCGACTCCTTCAGGTCGGTCAGCGCCGACTCCAGCATCATCTCCAGGAGGCTGGGGGACAGCACAGCTCCGCAGGGTGGCCTTTTCCCTTGGGATCCCCCCCCAGGAGCCGGGCGGGACTCACCTGCGCTTGATCTCGTCCGGGGGCCGCACCAGCTCGCAGGCCGAGCCCAGCTTGGTGAGCACCGAGAAGACCTGGCCCCGCTCCCGCCAGGCCGCGTCGTCCCAGCCCTCCACCCCGCGCCACGTCACTGAGAAGATGATGTTGGTCAGGAGGTTGCACAGCTCCTCCTCGGGGGTTTGCTGCCATGGGAGAGGGAGAGTCACAGAGTCACACGATGTGTCGAGTTGGAAGGGACCCACAAGGATCACCCAGTCCAACTCCTGGCCCTGCACAGGACGCTCCAACAATCCCACCATGTGCCTGAGAGTGTTGTCCAAACCCTCCTGGAGCTCTGGCAGCCTTGGGGTTGTGCCCACTGCCCTGGGGAGCCTGGTCAGTGCCAACCACCCTCTGGGGGAAGAACCTTTCCCTGAGATCCAACCTGAGCCTGCCCTGACACAGCTCCAGCCCTTCCCTGGCTGTTGTCCCTGGTCCCCCCAGAGCAGAGCTCAGTCCCTGTCCCTCCTCTGCCCCTCCCCAGGATGTTGGAACTGCAGTGAGGTCTCCCCTCAGTCTCCTCTGCTCCAGCTGAACACACCAAGTGCCCTCAGTGTCCTCACAGGGCAAATCAAGGCCCTTCTCCATCCTCGTTCCCTCCTTTGGACACTCTCCAATGGCTCAATCCCTTCCTTCCATTGTGTCCCCCCAAACTGCCCCGATGTTGAGGTGAGGCCGCCCCAGGGCAGAGCAGAGCGGGGCAATCCCCTCCCTGATGCCCCCAGGACAGGGATGTCCCTCCTGGCTGCCAGGGCACTGTTGGCTCAGGGACAACTGGCACCACCAGGACCCCCAGGGCCTTTGCCCAACACTCCTTTCCCAGCCTCTCATTCCCGGTCTGTCCATACAAACTGCGAGCTTGGTGTCCAGAGCGCCCCGGGGTGGTGGGTACGAGGGTTTGGGGCTCACCTGGGGGTTGCTGGTGTTGGAGACGTTGTCGCTGGGCAGCACGTCCTGGTAGCTGCTCTCGTCCAGGACGTTGGACAGGCTGGAGCTCTTGCGCGCCCGCATTCCCGGGAAGGGCTTGAAGCTCTCCAGGGGGGACGGGGTGCCGGGGCCGCTGCCAGGGGTCTGGGCACCGCTCTCGGCCGTGGCCACGGAGCTGGTGCTGGCCAGGTCGAGCCCCAGGTCGAAGGGGGAGGTGGAGAAGGGCGACAGCGGGTGGTAGACGCCGTCGAAGGGGGGGCCGTCGCCGGGGTTGGAGGACGAGCGACTGGCCCGGTCGGAGGAGTCGAAAGACTTGAAGTTGTAGGAGTGGAAGGACTTGATGCGGCCGCTCGGGGAGATGGAGTGGTCAGAGAAGCCCTCGGAGAGCTCCTGGTCCGAGGCCTCGTATCCCAGTGGGAGGAAGACATCCAGCTCCTGGAGCTCGGCCGGCGGTGGGCTCGTGCCCTCCTTGCCGGGGGGGTCGGAGAGGCGGAGCAGCTCCGGGCAGCCCCCGCTGGTGCTCAGGCTGTGCTGGCGGGACTCGTACGACTCCCGGACGTAGAGCTTGGTGAGGGTGTCCTGCCAGCCAGCCAGCCTGGCCAGCTGCCTCACCAGGTCCTGCTGAGCATAGATCAGGTGGAAGAGCTGCAGGAGAAGGAAAAGGGAGGAGACCTGATGCTGCTGCCCCAGCTCCTGATGGGTTGATGCTTGGATCCTTGGTCCTGAGCACCCGAGATCCTCCATCACCGGCACGAGGTGCTGGGGCTGCACCTCTTCCATGCTGGTACATCCATGTACAGGTCACCACCATGTCTGGGCATGGCTGGGTGCCCAGGGAGCTCAGCCCCAGGGTGACACCTCTGTCCCCTCACCTTGCGGCAGAGGTCAAGCCGGACGGTCAGGTCAGCCCGGTGGGACAGGTAAACCACGGCCACCAGGTCCTTGTAGTTGGGAGGGTCTGCGGGCAAGGAGAGACAGCACAGCAGTGGGACACCTGCTGTCCCCAAAAGCCACCAAAGATCCCAGTCCCAAGACCGGCTGAGCCTTGTGGGAAGCCACCAGCAGTGATCCCATGGCACGTGTTTTGGAGTGTATATTTTTGGGACACGGTACCTGCCCCGAGGACCTGCTCGGAGAGGCAGCGGAAGAGCAGCATGGAGCTGGGGACGTCACTGAGGTAGGAGATGAGCCCATGGTACCCGATGTCCTTCAGCTTCAGGCGGTTCTTGCTGCGCTCAGGGACCTTCTCGTACTTCAGCATCTTGTAGAGGATCTGGAGGGACAGTGAGAGGTGTCACCTCACTGGGGACGGTGAGAGGTTGGTGCCGGGGGCCCGCCTTACCTTGAAGACCCTCTCCCGCACTTCATCCGAGAACTTCTTCTGCACCAGCAGTGAGAAGAGAACCTCCACCTGGCCCGGCTCGAAGAGGAAGGCGAAGAGCTGCTCCTGGGCAGGTGAGCCCTTCAGCAGGCTGTGGATCACCTCCAGCGCCCCACACACCTGCAGGACACGGGGCTGGTTGTCCACTGCCCTCCAAGTGCCCCACCATGACCTCAGTGGCTTGTGCCAGCCCAGCCCACAGCACACTGAAGAGTTTGGGGAGCAGGGTGGCTCGGTGACGAACCTGCTGCTCGTCCTGGGCCCCAGCCAGGTAGCTCAGCAAGCTCTGCATCTCCTCCCCGGAGAAGCTCCGGCAGAAGAAATCCTTCACCAGGCTGAAGAGGGATGTCTGCACTGTCTTGATGTCATCAGTGGCCATGGTCTTCTCCCTGGAGGTGCTGATGGACAGACACACATGGGGACATGTTCAGTACGTTGTCACCCATCACCAGCACTGTCCCAAATCCCGCCATGAAGCCTGAGGAGCTCCAGGGCAGCCCCACGTGGACATCCAGGGATCTTCTGGCCCATGGGAAATGTCTGCCCCAGGCTTTTGGGTCTCTGCAGGGGGTGAGCACCCCCCGTACCACAGACATGCAGCAACACAGCAAACAAGAGAAGGGCATCAACTCATTGCAGAAGCCATCACGCTGTTGGTGGCTGAGGGAGAGATGCTGGGGATGGATTTGGGAGCCAGGCACAGGGTTGGGGATGGGATGTGGCCACTTGGAGCGGAAGATCCTGCCCCCACAATGTTCCCACACCAGAAGGAGGGATGTTACCCCTAGAAAATGGTGTCTGTCCCACACTGGAGCTCGGAGGGGGGAAGCCCACCATTCCCACCACCACACCAGCATTCCGCAGTCCCGGCTCCGCCCGCGGCTCACCCGTAGTAGGTCCGGATGGAGTCGAGGACATACTGCACCCCGTACTTCTTACGGATGCGCTGCTTGTGGTCCTTGACCACGTTGGCCAGGTACTGGATGTGGCCTGCAGGGAGAAGGTGTGAGGGGCCTGGGGGTGGGTGGGGATGGGGGACACCCCCAGCCCCCGGTCCCACCTAAGCGCACGGCGAAGTCGCTGTTGCTCCAGATGCGGAAGTCGAAGAGGAGATGCTGGTACAGGAGGTGCAGCAGGAGCCCACTGCCCTCGGAGGCCACCTGCTCCATGAGGATCTGCGAGGCCACCAGCGTGCTCATGTCCAGCAGAGCGCCGGAGACCTGCCACGGGAGGGAGGGAGGGGACACTTGTACTCCTGCCACCCCCTTGGGAGCCACGCCGGGGATCACAGGACGGAGTTTTGGGAGCTCCCCCACCTTCTGCAGCAGTGCCCCGATGATGGCCGGCCCGTGGCACTGCACCAGGCTCTCCTGGTTCACGGGGTGGTGCTGGATGAAGTTCTTCACCAGCAGCAGGAAGGCGGCCACGCTGTTCCTCTCCAGCCTGTTCTCTGCAAGGCACAGAGCTGTGAGCCCTGGGCCCACCCAAACACCCTCCTGGAGACCCCACCACCAACTCTGCTCTCCAATTTCACCCCATTCTCCTGTTTTCCTCACATTTATGGAGGTGGAAACCTCTGTTGCTCTGAGCTTGGGAATAAGCAGCTGGGTGTCAGGAGGAAGCACGTTCCACTCGTGCCAAAGGCTCCTGGACGGACCCAGCCCTGTTCTGAGACATCAAAGACTCCACCCAGAGGCAACCCGGAGGTGGCTGGAGCCACCCTCACCTTCCCAGAACTGCTTGTTCATGACTAATTGGGTCATAACAATGTCAGAAGTGCCTTCTCCATTACCCCCACACCTTGTGGTGCCTCAGGCAAGACCTCTCCTGTCTGTGGTGGACACCAGGAACACCTCCACGGCACCGTGGTTACCTCCAATCACCTGACTCCTGCTCCACACCCCGAACTCCTCACCTGAGGACTTTCCCAGTGGGATGAGCATGCCCTGGGCGTTCCTGGAGGACGTCAGCTCTGGCCCCACCAAGTCATTGGTCTCCTCCTCGTCCTCGGGCTCCTCCTTCTTGGACACCACTTGCTCGAGCAGGGGCAGGAGCACTCCCATCCCACCCACGCAGTTGACCACGTCCTGAGGGAGGGAGGGACAGAGGGGAGAGGTCTTGCTGGGCGCTGGAGGAGGTTGCACAGCCACCTGGAGTCCCCAAAAGTCACCTGTTCCCCTACACCACCCACGGTGCCCACCCTGGATAGGGCAGACAGGTCCTCAGGGGACCCACGGGTCATGCAGGTCCTTGGTGGACCCAGCACCACATGCAGAGTCTCTGCAGGGTCCAACCAACACCCTGTGGGTGTCCTGCCCTGGGCCTGCAGCCCAGGAGAGCCCCACCTGCCTCCATGCCGGGGGGTGGATGTGTCACCCTGTGCCCACCGTACCTTAACGTCCCAGTTGACCACCTTGTGCCCCGTCAGCCTCCCGTCCAGGCCGTGGCTGGGAGAGAGGTCCAGGCAGATGTTGTTCCTGCAGGCCTAGAGGAGAGCACCATGGGAGCATCCCCGTGCTCCTGGAGATGTCCCTCAGGGCACAGGGGCTCGCAGCACTGTCCCTGTCCCCGGGGGGGTGTCTCTCCTCACCTGGGGGGTGTAGTACAGCAGCAGTTTGCTGCTCAGCTCCACCAGGTCCCCTTCCAGTGTAAATGGTGACATGACATTCGGGCCTGGGAGAGGAGGACTGGGGTGAGCTGGGACACGCTGAAGGAGAGCCTGGTTGCCACCAGCACCTCTGTGGACATCCCCCAGATGTCCATGTCCCACCCTGATGTACCTGCACAGAACAGAGCCTTGACCTGGGCCTGCTGCAGAGCCTCACAGAAGATGGCCACGGAGCCCAGGTGACCCTCCAGGGAGGTGGGGCTGCCCCACTCCATGTCCTGGCTCCCGGCCGCCGTGGTGGCCACCACCCCCTCCGTGGGCAGCTGAGTGGGGGTCCAAGAGTGGGGGCCGAGGGTGGCAGGGACAGACTGGGAGCGTCCCAGCACAGGGTGTGAGGGGAAGACCAGCTCCGGGCCGTGGGGTGCCGGCGGGTGGCTGGTGGCCGTGGCAGCCGTGGTGGTGGTCCGGTGCCCCGCGGAGCCGATGCAGCAGGAGGTGAAGGACTGGAAGGCAGAAGGGTCTTGCTCAGCCCCCCATCATCCATGGGGAGGGGTCTGGCCAGGTCGGGGGGGGGTCCTTCACCTCGTGGAGGGAGGGGAAGCGGAGCTGCGCCGTCTTCCGCAGGTGCCCGTCGGCGTAGACGCTGACGACGTTCTGGCCGAAGGGCCGGCGCCCGGCGACGTGCACGATGTCCACGCAGTGCTGGGGGCAGGGAGGGGGGTCAGGGCATCCCGGTGGCCTCACTGCCCCCCCGGTGGTGACAGGGACGGGGACGATGCTCACCCAAGCCGAGTCGTTGAAGGCAAACTCCGGCAAGGCCACGGTCATGTAGTCCTTCTTGGTGCAGACGGCCACCACCAGCACGCCGCCGGCGGTGAAGAACGCCTCGAAGCCCGTCCCCCCGGCCGTGAAGAAGCTGGTGGAGGAGAAACACGGTGGGGATGGTGGTGCCGCCCCTCCTCATCCTCACCTCAGCCCCTCCCAGCCCCTCCATCCACCATCACCTGTAGAGTTGCCTCCTCTTCGGCCTCGCCGGCGGCTCCGGCTCCTCCTCACTCAGGCACACCCAGGCGTGGAAGGCGAAGGCCCCTCCGGGCCACTTCTGGATGGTGGGCACCATGATCCCGGCCATGCCCGGGCTCAGGTCGAAGCTCTGCAGCGCCCGGGGGGGCCCCTCCGCCCTGGCCATGCCCGAGAGCGCCCGGATGACGGGACACACGTAGGGATGAGGCCCCCGGCCCCGCTCGTGCCGCAGCAGCCGCAGCAGCTGCCGCAGCTCCCCGGGCCGGATGGACAGGCTGCCCAGCGCCCGGAGCAGCTCCAGCAGGTTCTGGGAGCAGGCAGTGGGCAGCGCCGGCTCGGTGCCCAGGGCGCCCAGCAGGGAGCCCACCATGCCGGCCTTGACGCACGTGAGGCGGCTGGGCAGGGAGGCCTCGCAGAGCCGCCGCAGCCACCCCGACAGGAAGACCTGGAGATCCCGGCACTCCAGTGCCGGCAGCCAGGCCAGCAGGATCAGCAGGGGCTGCTCGTTGCGGATGGGACGCACCGGGAAGGAGCTGTGGTCGCCCTCCACTGCCTGTTGGAACATGAGAGGTGTTTGGAGCTGCTCCAACCCTGTGGAGAGGGTCGGATCATCCCCCAGGCCACCCTGGGCTGGAAGCAGAGACCTTGTGCATCGAACCCCTTGTAGACTCCCGTGCATCAAAACCCTTGGAGACTCCCGTGCATCAAAACCCTTGGAGACTCCCGTGCATCAAAACCCTTGGAGACTCCCGTGCATCCAGTATATCAAGACCTTCATCTACCGAGAGTCTTGGAGACCCCTGTGCATCAAGAGTTTTGGAGACCTCGTGCATCAAGCACATGAGAGACCCTTGTGCATCAGTGCTTTTGGAGATCCTGTACATCTAGAATTTGGCAGATCCTTGTGCATCCAGGATTTGGACACCTCATACATCAAAATTCTTGGAGACTCTCATGCATTAATAGTTTTGGAGATCCTTTGCATTAAGGGTCTTGGAGACCTCCATGCATCAAAATTCTTGGAGACCTCCATGCATCAAAATTCTTGGAGACCTCCATGCATCAAGGATCTCAGAGACCTCCATGAATCAAAGATCTTGGAGACCTCCATGAATCAAAGATCTTGGAGATCTCCACACATCAAGCATCTTGGAGACCTCTGTACATCAAGGATCTCAGGGACCCCCACACATCAAAGGCGTTGGAGACCCTCATGCATGAAGCACGTTGGAGACCCTCCCGTGTCCAGCAGTACCAGAACAAGCAGTTCCACATCCAGAAGGGCTCAAAACTCCCCAAAGCTGAGCATGACTCCAACCTAAAGATGACCCCAAGACCCCTTGGGATGAGGCTGACGGGAACCCAGGTGGGTGGAGAGAACTGAGGGGTGAGGAGGGGGGGGCTGAGATCCGCCAGGAACCGCCAGTGCCCAGCAGGGAGGAGAAGTGGGAAGGCTCACCATGTTGAGGAGCTCCTGGAGCAGGCGTTGGGTGGGCTGCCCTTGGCTCCTCAGCACTTCGTAGAGGTGGGTGTAGCCGATGCGCTCCTTGAACACCTCCTGCAAGCACACGGACACGTGGGACCCCGCGGGACCCGCTGCTCCCACCCTGGCCCACCCGGGCAGGTGACAACGCCCCAACCCATGTGCTTTCGGGGTGTCCCCTGGCTGGCTGCCCACCTTGGCCGAGGGCGAGTTGCTCATGATGGCCGTGAGCACGCCGAGGGCGTGGACCGCGATGGCGTCGGAGCCGCCGGCACCGCCCTGCGGGGACACGGGAACGGTGGGTCAGCGGAGCCCTGGGGTGGAGGGGACACCCCACCACGCCTGGGGGTCGGGTTACGGGGCGGCCCCATCCCGTACCTGCTGCAGGCCATCCCTGCTCCGTGTGGGAACCTCGTCCCGGGATTCGCCCGCCTCCTGTGAGCTGCCGAGGTAGAGCTGTGGGACACGGGGGGGAGTGGGACACAGGGACACAGGGACACAGGGAAGGGGGTTCGGAGGGGCCCCACCCCATGGGAGCTGCTGCAGCACAGCCACGCTGCCCCAGGATCACTGAGGGTCAGGAAGGGCGAGGGGGGACATGAAGGTGTCACCAAGGGGGGACACGTCACCCTGTCCCAGGATCATTCAGAACCAGGAAAGGATGGAGATGCAAGTGCCCAATTCTGGTGTCACCAAGGAAGGGTGGACATGTCACCCTGTCCCAGGATCATTTAGAGCCAGGGAGGATCGAGATAAGGGTGTCACCAAGGGTGAGAACGGAGATGAAAGTGTCACCAAGGGGCGATATGCCACCCTTTCCCAGGATCATTTAGAGCCAGGAAGGGTGAGGATGGAGGTGCAGGTGCCCAACCCAGGTGTCACCAAGGGAGGGGTGACATGTCACCTTGTCTCAGGATCATTTAGGGTCAGGAAGGGCAAGGATGGGGATTAGGATGTCACCAAGGGGTGATATGCCACCCTTTCCCAGGACCATTTAGGACCAGGAAAGGATGGAGATGAAGTTGCCCAATGCTGGTGTCACCAAGAAGGGGGAGGACATCCCCCCTGTCCCAGGATCACTGAGGGCCAGGAAGGAGGAGAATGGAGGTGAAGACATGAAGACATCCCCAAGGGGGACATCCCACCCTGTCCCAGGATCATTTAGAACCAGCAAGGGTGAGGATGGAGATGAAGATGTCACCAAGGGGGACATCCCACCCTATTCCAGGATCATTTAGAACCAGGAAGGGTGGGGATGGCGGTGAAGGGGCCCAACCCTGGCGTCACCAAGGACATCCCACCCTGTCCCAGGATAAGTCAGAGCCAGGAATGGCGAGGCTGGAGCCGAGGCCGGAGGCCATCCCGGAGTCATCCCGGAGCCATCCCGTACCGTGCTGTTCTGGAGCAGGCGGATGATGTGCTCGAAGCAGTTGTTGCTCAGGAAGGTGGCCTGGAGCACCGGCCGGTCCTCGCAGCTCAGCATGGCCGGGATGGCGTCTGTGCAGAGGGGAGCACGGATCAGCCCCGGCCACATCCCACATCCCACACCCCAAACCCCATCCCAAACCACCTACCCAGCATGAGCACCTGAAGGCCGATGGGGAGCACGGATCAGCCCCATCCCACATCCCACACCCCATCCTAAACTGTCTACACAGCATGAGCACCCAAAGGTTGATGGGGAGCACGGATCAGCCCCGGCCACATCTCACATCCCATATCCCAAACCCCATCCCAAACTCCATCCCAAAGCACCTACCCAGCAGGAGCACCCGTAGGCCGATGGGGAGCATGGATCAGCCCCAGCCACATCCCACATCCCAAACCCCATCCCAAACCACCTACCCAGCAGGAGCACCCGCAGGCCGATGGGGAGCACGGATCAGCCCCATCCCACATCCCATATCCCAAACCCCATCCCAAAGTGCCTACCCAGCAGGAGCACCCGCAAGCCGATGGAGAGCATGGATTAGCCCTGGCCACATCCCACATCCCAAACCCCATCCCAAACCACCCCACCTACCCAGCACGAGCATCCACAAGCCAATGGGGACCATGGATCAGCCCCATCCCACATCCCACACCCCATCCCAAACTGCCTACCCAGTACGAGCATGCATAGGCTGATGGGGAGCACAGATCAGCCCCATCCCATATCCCAAACCCCATCCCAAAGCACCTACCCAGCATGAGCACCCGCAGG